TCCATCGGAGAGGACATAAAGGGCTGTCAAGAGGAGCATCGAAATGGATCCCAGATTAACGACTGCAAAAGTGGCCAAAGTTGGTGGGATGAGCCCGAAATATTGAAATTGAGCGTCGAAATATTGGAGGAAGGACTCTTGCCACTTTATTCTTCGGGTTTCGTGGACAAGAACACAACGTTGTTCCAGGAAGATGGAACACCGTGTCACACTGCTAGAAACACCCAACAGTGGTAGAAAGAAAATGGTATCCAGAAGTTGCCCTGGTCGAGCCAATCTCCTGACATGAACCCCATCGAAAACCTCTGGGCCATACTCGACCGGCAAGTCAAGAAACAACCGAAAAAAACAACTTCGAAAAGCGATCTACTCCAAGTTTTGAAGCATAAGTGGGCGAAAATCCCACAACCTAAAATTGACGAGATGATTCTCACGATGCCCCAAAGGATCAACGAACTCCACGAAGCGAAAGGAAGATCTACTAGATATTAATTAAATTATAAATATATCAATTCATGTGAATATGGCTGAAACATTTCATTTTTTCTAAAAAGGTGATGTCTATTTACTTGTGACAACGCTGTGTACATGAAACTTTTTGTAAGTTATCTGTTCGACTCCTGATCAATCTAATTATATCTCCTTATAGATCGTGCCTGTAAGGATGCTTGTCTTTATTGAAAACCATTATTGTTTACTTTAATAAATGGCATAATCGAAAAGTTTAAAAAATTCAAGCTATTTGAAAATAATAAGTTACAATATCTTAAGTTTTATATTTAAGAAATATTAAACAGTAAAAAAGTGGAAACACTAAGTCCAGAAATTTATGTGCAATTTAAAGGAGCGTTTTTCTAATGTGTTTAAACGAATAAAATATAGTTTTCATCGTGTTAAATTAAAAATGATAAAGATATATTATTATGGCAAATTAAACCAAACGCAAGTCTAAAATTATGTTTATTTAAATGTTCTTAATAGAAATCAAAATTAAATTATAAATCATTTACGTAAGATAAAAAATGTTTAGTCCATAGAAAGTCACTTTTTGAATATTTTCTGCTAATACACTATTCTTTAGATTTCAATTTCAAACGATTAACAAGTTCAAAATCAAAAGCTGCTATAATCAATCAAGCTCAAGTCGTATTTCCACTGAACTTGATGGTTGTAAGGTCCCAAGTTTACTTTGCAATGTAACGTTTCATGCCAGATTAGATATTTCATTAAGACGTTTTTGTGAAAAATAGGGCGAGGTTTACATATTTTTATGAAATTTTTGTTCAAATTAAAAGAAAATATCTACTGACAGTACAAGTCTAACAATTAATATCACACTTTAGCTCTATGGTAAAATATTTGTAACAAGCAGTTATTATAAGAGCTTCAAGTCACGGCATTTAACTTACCTGTAACACAGATTTTTACACTATATGTAGTAGTCTGTTTTCACAGTTAGGTTTTTAATTTGGTATTTCTTGTATCTACGGGCACCTGCAATATATATATTTCTGTTACACGTAGCATCTTTAATTTGCGAATGTTTAGATTTAGAATAGTGTGTGTGTGTGTGTGTGTGTGTTTTTTGGAAATAACGCTACAAAATAGAAAATTTGTGAACAAATAGTATCTTTGTTGACACCAGAAGTGAAATCATTATACGAATGTACGTGATTTGCAATTGTTCATGAATGATCCCAAATAGAAAATCTTGCTTAATTATAACTGTGAATTATACCAAATTAATCATAATTATTTATTTTCCACTAACTTGTGTACATTACACACCCCAGAGTGATACGACCTACACAAGAAATTTAGCTAAAACTTGGAAATAAATCTTAAAAACGCTTAATTAAAGATGACGTTGTTTGTACTAAAACTGCATATCTTCATAAAACGCAATATTACATTTTTCTGCAAGATCTATAACGATACAATTACTATAGATGCATATTCAAAATATGTCAGAATTTTCACAGCTCCTATATTTCATTAAACATCTTTCATTAACATATAATGTAGTTTCTTGAACACAGCTCATAAAGTCTGTCGTAACAGATAGATAGACGTAAGATACACAGCGGACCACAGTTTTCCTATAAAATTGAGTAATTCAGGGTTTAAGTAGAATTAGCTTACAACTAAATTCGTTTTCAAGAGATTGTTTGACATACCTGCTTTTCAAATTAAGGAAAATCGACGAAGTTTCTCTAAATGTAAATGTTCTAAATGTAAATCTTTAGTTTATTTCTCTTTAGAATGGTTTGGTTTGTATTGAATTTCGCGCAAAGCTACACGAGGGCTATCTGCGCTAGCTGTCCCTAATTTAGCAGTGTAAGACTAGAGGGAAGGCAGCTAGTCATCACCACCCACCGCCAACTCTTGGGCTACTCTTTTACCAGCGAATAGTGAGATTGACCGTCACATTATAACGCCCCCACGGCTGAAAGGGCGATCATGTTTGATGTGACGGGGATTCGAACCCGCGACCCACAGATTGCGAGTCGAGCGCCCTAACCACCTGGCCATGCCGGGCCTCACTTATTTTGACACAAAATCACCACACGTTTGTTGTTTGGGAAATATTTACTACAGTTATTTATATTAATCTTGTTAATAAGTCCATCGATTATTTTACATACACAAAACATGTAATTCTAGGTAACAGCATGGAGCCAAAATAGGGTTTTGTAATTTAAGTAAATAATGTCTCCAATATCTCCAGTCTGGTTTGCTTACTTCTTTTTAGAATCCCTATTTGCAGGTTTTTAAATTCCCATTTTTTTATTCATATTGTATATATATATATATATATATATATATATTTGTTTTTTGCCTCAGAACAAACATCAAACCTAAATGAATACAAATAAAGACGACAATTTTATCGTAAAATTACTTATACCATATAATATTGATTCTGCAACCATACCAAAATTTTTAAAAAAGACACAAAACATTAATACACGATAAAAATAACTTAGTTTTCTATATGCACCTCAAAAAGTCCATATAATAATAGTTTTCTTATTGGAACTTTTGAAAAAAAAATGGTACATCGAATTTCAATGACCTTACCGTTTTTACAATTATTTTGTATTAACAATAGACATGTAACAATTGTTGTTGAATAATATAATGCTAGACAATCCTTAACGTTTCAAACAAACCCATACAATTTATTTTATTTTGCAGTGCAACTCGGAAGTTACGAAAACACTTCTTTGTTTGTATTAACAGTACTTTTCCCTAAAGCATCCTTCAAGGAGTCAGAACTAAAAAACCTATTTTAATAGATCAAAACTGTCTAAAATAATTTCAGATTTTGAAAGTTAACTCTGCATATAGACATTTATTTATAAAGATATCTACTGTGTATATTGTAAAATATTTCTACAGCGAAATTACAATTTAACATCTTTGCATATTCAATTATTATGATTGCTACTTCCGTACCTGATAAAGCTTGATGATATTAGGATGGGAAAGATGTTTCATTATTTGAACTTCTCTATAAACTTTCTCCAAGTTTACTTCATCTAGATGAGTCTTATCTATGATTTTGATAGCTACCTGTTGAAGAAGAAAAACAGTTAGTAAAGCATGTACTTGTATACAAACAACATGAAAAATACTACAATATTTGTGAGTTTTATCGTTGGTAAATCACAAGAAAAAATATAACTTTTATGTTAAAGTTTATATTTATAGCTCACGATTCGTGACGATCAGTCCCCACGAATAACTTGAAAATGGCATTTTTTGTTTTTAAAGAATTTGCAGAATTCTAAAAATCTTACCTCATCTATGGAAACATGATTGCTGAAATTTGTACGTGAAGCAATAACAGCAAAAACGCTTCATACGAACAAACTAACACAAAAACCATCTTGTTATTATAATACTTAAACACATAGATTTTTAACCATTAATAAAAAGCATGGCATTAAAATTTAGCTAACGCAAAGTTATGAACCTGTTCAATTATTTCTAATTTGCTTTTAGATTTTGAAAAAGGTGCCATCATGCTGAAGTCAAAGTGACTGAAGGAGTTGATGATGGTGAAGTGGAACCAAGTATAGATATTCAAGCAGAACAGGAGAAAGACCAAGATTTGAAGCCAATAATTGATTTTCTACAAGCAAGTGTTTTGCGCCCTGCTTGGGAGAAGGTGTCTAGCTTAAGCCCTGTGGCAAAGAACTATTGGACACAATGGGACCAGTTCAAGCTTGAAGATGGTATTCTTGTCAGTAGATGGGAAACTGCAGATGGGAAAGTGACGACCTGGCAAACAGTTATGTTGAAAAAGTTACGGGAAGTTGTACTGTGTTAATCCGATGACAGTTTAACAGGAGGACATCTTGGAGTTAAGAATACATTGAGTCACCTACGGCAGAGATTTTACTGGATAGGTATAAGACAATATGTGGAAGAATGGTGCAGGACCTGCAGTACATGTTGTGCTAAAAGGGAACCCAAGCATTGCTGGTCCTTTGCCCCGAACTCGTGCTGGAAACAGGTAAATTTTCTGTGGTGATGGATCATTTCACCAAGTGGCCTGAGGCATATGCAATGCCAATTCATGGAAGCTACAACTGTAGCTTCGGTTATTAGTGATTTCTTCTTCAGATTTGTTGTGCCATACGAACTGCATTCAGATCAAGGCCGTAACTTTGAATCAGCTGTGTTCCATGAATGCTGCAAGTTGTTTGACATACGAAAGACCAGGACAGCGCCACTTCACCCACAGTTTGATGGGATGGTAGAAAAGCACAATTGGACACGTGGGACAGGAATTGAC